TTGGAAGAATGCCCGCATATAAGATTCACCAAAAAATACGTATTCAAAATTGAATTTCAGATATATATATATAATGTAGAGAAGTATTAAAACGTTCCAAACTGACGAAAAGAAAGAAACAAATGTGATCAAGCTTCAAAAGTAATTGAATTACTTTCTCAGTATTTGTACTCTACTCAACATACTTTTCAGTGAAAGTAACTTGAGTGACAATTTAAATACTTTATGAAGCAGCTATTTAGTAACTTAACTTAAATACTTTTATTGAGTATTTTGCACAACACTGATTTTTAGCCAATTTGGAAGAATGCCCGCATATAAGAATCACCAGAAAATACATATTCAAAATTGAATTTAAGATATATATATATATATATATATATATATATATATATATATATATATATATATATATATATATATATATATATATATATATATATATGTATATATATAATGTAGAGAAGTATTAAAACGTTCCAAACTGAAGAAAAGAAAGAAAAACATGTGATCAAAAATTATATTCCAATTATTGAATCTAAAACACCAGGCACATCCACGCGAAAGCGGTCATCGATAACACAACGACGAGCAGGAGTCGGAAAAAAAACACACTTGTATGCGCAGACAGAGGCGAACACGAAGAAAATTGTGATCGTCTCTGTCTACGCATACAATGTTCCGCGGCATTATGCATCAACTATATGTAACCGACAGCTTAAAAAACGCCGGGCGCAACTTATCATGTTCGCGCTTCTTGCTTACGCGTGAAGCGTTCACGGGTATCCTTATCGGATAATGCCGTGTCCTGATTAACTGCGGAGCGATGACGATAACTTAAGAACGATGCTGATAACTTAGAAAACGACCTGCGTTTCTTAAATTGTCAGTGGCCATAGCTTAACAACAAGCATCGTTAAACGAGCGGGAGTTCTATCGGTTCTGGCCGCTGGGATATACATGTATATCTATGCTCGTGCATGGGAGGCAAGCAAGTACGATTTGTAAGCATACCAAGGTTACCCACGCGTGTGCCGCTGGGAGTTGCCTCACACACATCTTCCCGTACCTGCCAAAACGTGAATACCAAAAAAGAAATAATACCGTAGAAAAATACGGACCTCTCGATCAGGGCAGTATCTGTAGAATTTCGTATCGCTTACCACCCGGGCGAAAAATGCTGAGTCACTGAGCTGTGGACGCATGCGCAGTGACTGAGCCACCGCACAGCAGAGCTATACAGCGCAAGCTCAGAAGGCGTTCCACAGCTCAGCAGACAAAGATGGCAGCGTCCAGAAGGCGATTTTCGCAAAGGTCTGTAGGTTATTAATGCATATACGATGGGAAAATCAAGCTATAGGATTGGACGAAGTGAGCAGCGCTATACAAGTGCGTCGTCACGGCGCTTGTTGTCTTTGTATAAGCGCTTCGCACAGGCGCTAGATTACAGCCGCCATTGCTGACCTTCTCTTGTCTTAACGAGATACCGAGCCACTGAAATGGTCGTTAACGAGCCTCCAGGAAGGTCAATGCTGGGGAGGAGGAGAGGGTAGAATCTAAGATGGCGATAACCTGGCCTGCTATGGTAATGATGAACTAAACGGAATAAGAGGAAACAAAAACAGAAGGTCGGTTATGGCAGCGCCCATGCACAGCTGCTGCAACGCGTCTAAACGCTCTCCCCGGTTAAACAGATCGCACGCAGGGGAAAAAAAAGCGAGGATTGCGGCCCATTTAGTGCGCGTGATTGGTTTCGTCGGGGATAGCAGACGCACTGAGACGACGAGCGCGTTGACGAATTCACTTCTGGCGCCGGTTGATTGGCTCTATCGGATCCCACCCTTCGAAACACGAAAACGGTACGCGTTACGAGGAAATCCAGAAGGTCGTAGGAAGTCGGCGAACGGGGCACGCGCTACAGCCGCTTCCGCATCCGGTTTTCTTCTCTTTCTTTTTTTCGCTCACTCGTCGTGATTAGCTGATACGAAGTTTCCGAATCACGAGTCGTTATATAGTATACGCCACGCGATGTTCCATTGAAAGAACCTCCTCGCGTCGTCCGATATGCTTTTCGCCGGACGCTGGAGTCACGCTGTCATGTCGTACTTCGCACGAAAGACACTGTTTCCGCTACGGACACGACAGCAGAAATGTTTGCGGACACATATTTTTGAAGCATGTTTCCGTCACACATACGTGCGCTTCAAACAAGTACGCCAACATTTTTTTTTTTTTTTTTTTTTTTTTTGCGTAATTAATGTTATTAGTACCGTCGTTCAAGGAGGAAACACGGCTCGGGCAGTTTCTGCGGGCTGTTATTTTTGGTACACATTGGCAGTGTGAGCGCTACTTTTCAGCGGGAACATGTCAGATCAAGCGGCATTTTCAAAGCGGAATCCTTTCTTGCTACATGGAAGCATTCGGACACCGAATTTTAACGCAGAATCTGGTATATATAGGGCCCGGGTTTCACGAGAAAAAGCAACAAGTCACGTTCGAGCGCTTCGCTCGACCGACACCTCGGATGTCAGGTAGTCACATGACGTCAGAAAATCACGTGGCGTCATAATGTGGTGGGACATCGCGGTGTCAAGTGACGTCGCGGGGTCACGTGACGTCATGAGGTCACGTCACGTCAGTCAGAGACGCGTGACAAACAGTGTGTGCCCAGCTCATTTGGAACAGATACTGCGCGTCTCCGAGTTTATCGGGTATGACCGAACATTATCTTTTTTTTTTTTTGAGCCTTGCAGTTTTTAATTGCTTTGGTGTGTTCGCCCATGTATTCCCTTTTGTTGTCCCACATGGCACGTTAATTTGTCATGTCATAGAGTGTTGCGTCTGAGAAACAGAACTTCGTCAGTAGTTTTGGAGACCTGTGCACAGCATGTACTCATTAAGAAAAAAGGAAAGGCGTGCCCTTACTTCATTTGCGGCGGCAACGACATCTTACGAATCCTATCGGTTAAGTCGTGCGAAAAAGAAAAAGCGATTTAGCGAAGCTAGTCTTAATATATGATTGAATTCTCCTACGGGACAAGAACAGAGACGAGGTCAATCTCCCCCGGGGCGGATATTTCTTTTTCTCAATAAAGGGAGCAAAATCGGATCGCAACACAGGGGCGGATATGCGCCCGCGACATTAGGTAGCCACCGGAACCGGAAATGAGAAGCGAGCTACCGATTCCCCGCCTCCCGGCGGGCGACGGGTTTTTCTGCGAGATACGACGACAACGTCGCGCTCTTACGTTCTCTCTGAGACACGCACTCAGTTAGCTTTCCAGGAATAAAACGGCAAAAAAATAAAATTAAAAAGAAACAAAAAAGAAAACTGTCAAGTATTTAAAACACAAAGTAGATATCAGCTTTTTATTACATTTTTTAACGGATGTGCACCCATCAAAACATTCGGAAATGCGTGACAAAACGTATTGAATAATTTAGAAGAATACTCGCATATTGGCCTACTAAAAACTGTTTTTGTACCACAATATCGTTTCAAACATTTAAAAAAAGGAAGTGTTCTTCACACCTTGGGGCCTATTTTCCGCAAAATTCAAAGTGTCGTAAAAAAGATAAATAGAGCAAAAATATTTTGAAAGAGTAACTTTTACATCGCAAATAACATCTACCATTTTTTTTTTTTTTTTTTACTGAATCCTCGTGGGTCGAATATAGAAGTGGATGATTTGGCGTGGAATGACCCAGATGTTAAATACGTAGAACAAATGCATCAATTGACGCCAAACGACATCCATAAACCTTGTTCGTTTTAATGTAAAAATTTAGTGATTATTGTTACTTCTCATTGAAAAAAAAAAAAAGAATTAAACAAAAACTAGTGTTTTTATCGATAAGCTTCCAAGCCCATGACCAGCAGACAAACGCCCAGGGCGTGATTCCGTATTTCCAGATAAATTCAGAGAACTCCAAAAAACACTCGCCGGTAACCTTTTCGTCAATTCGAACTTATACGAGAAACTCAAAATTTGGTGCTCTCAGGGAATTTATTCCCTGAGAGGACAAAGTCTGTGGTCCTGGGAAAAGGCCACTTCATGTTCATTTGAAGTAATTGTCACCATCTATCTCGTCAAGGTTAGTTCAGAACATAGGGCTACTGTACTTCTGGGTCACCCCAAAAGCCGTTATTCCTGTTTCCAGTTCGTAGCATACTATTCGCACTTTTTAGATGAAGGAAGGGTTGTGTTTTTATAACAGTGAAAGCTACGAACCTCTAGATTTCATAGGAGGGGGAGGGCAGCAGGAGCTTCCTTGCTTCCCAATTACTACGTCTAGTTATTTCGAAGTATTGACGTTCATTGAAGCAACACTTCTTTTCAAGATTTGTCGTGTAACAGTTAGTAATGTAGTTGCATTACAAATTTTTTTATAATTTGCAATTTGCCACAATTTGTTATTACAAACTGCTTTACAATCTGACAAGGGCGCCAATGCCAAATGTAGTTGCAGACATATCTTTCGATACGGGTGGGTTCTTACTTATTTGGTGAATGGTTGTGTCCGGATATTATTTTGTATTATCATTTTTATACTGTAAAATTTGAAACAATAAAATAATCTCCGAGACTGAAAAAATTAAAAATCTGAATGAAAAAAAAATAAAAGCTTCAATAAACGTCGAAACACCCGCCGAATTCAACGAAAAACTCCGAGAAAACACGAAATCCTACTTATTATGTTCACGCTTTCCGCTTACGCGTGAATCGTTCACGGCTGCTCTGATGGGCGAAATCCGCATTCTGGCTAAGGAGCGATAATGAGATGCTCGGATCACGCCCTGCCCTTCGTTTCTTAAGTTGTCGGTGGCTACAATCTGTATTTATTGTTTTTTTTTTTTCTTTTTCTTACATTACGTTTATCCTGCACCCAGTTTGTCATATGTATCTAATAAATGTATGTGCCATGAAAAGGAAAAGAAGGTCGTCTATCGCTACGAACTTGCACTTCGCAACTTATTCATGTTCTCTGTTTGCCAATAGGTTCGTCACTCGTTGCTCAGGGTTGCCAACCCGCGCTCCAGGACTACGACGTGTGCTTCAACATCTTCCTGGAACGGGACTTCCCCCTGGTCGAGGCGTTCCTGTCCAACGCCGCCTTTGGCTTCAGAGGCAGAGTGCTCGTGGAGCCAGGAGACCTGGCCACCATGTGCGAGTATGGATACCCCATTTAATATTTATTATACATGAACGCCCTCACCTCGTGCGGGTATCTACTGTGTCTAGAATAGATACAACACCTGCCCGCTATGTTCGAGTACGTACTTTGCCTACGATAGGTTGTTTTCAAAAGACGTCAAACCGCCATTTTGTTGTTAGATACGAATATAATGGCGATAGATGAATAATTAAAATACTTGCCTTTGACACGTTACCACACAACTCGTAACAACAGGATGGCAGACATAGTTAGATACTGATTCAAAGGTGTCAGATGCATCCTTGAAATAGTTGCCTTTGGCACGCACAATCCAGCTCATAAGAACAAAATTGTAGACAAAATGACGTCAGTGAACACGCCTTATACCTGTTCACGATGTTCGAGAATGAACTGCTTTGACACAACCTGTCCAGCATTAGCGGGTGTGCATATTGCGCTGTTTTCATCTCAAGACGTATATTGTGTCTATTAAGTCCAACCACCACGCGCCAGTACATGTCTCCAAACATTGCCCTACATGTTCGAGTTTATACTGCGCCTATATCGCACCTAGCTGCCTTTAAGCATAACCATTGTTCCCACCAGAGCTCGGTGTTCTGACGCTCCCGCGCGCTTTCGTCTCCTCATCTCCCTTGGTTTCTCGTCGCACAATGTTCGAGTATTTACTGTCTGCTATACCTGACCCCATACATGGGTAAATTACTTTCAAAATGTAATTTTATTACAATTACAATTACTTAGCTCCCAAAGTAGTTTAACTACAATTACAATTACTACTACGTGAAAGTAGTTCATTGCAATTACAAATTACTTTTTAAAAGTAATGCAATTACTTTACAATTACTTCTTTCTGAGAGTTACCCACCTTGGGCCATATAACTGTAAACGAGTTATATGGCCGCTGTATAAATGTCACGCATTGTACTTTCCTTTTATGAAATTTGTTAAATGGATTATAGAACTTAATAGTTTGGAGTAATGAACTCCTGCGTTCTTATATTCTCAAAAAATAAAAATAAATGGCGACAAAATTCACAGGTGCGAGGTGAATCTCCTTAGAGCTTATGCAAACGGTATCCAAATCAAACCAACAAAAAATAAAGTTAAAAATAATACAAGGAAACAAATATGCGACAGTACTGGTATCATAAAACTCACGTAAAAATGGCTAATAAGAGAAACCTGTAAACGACGTCAAACATTTAACGAATACGACAACTTACGAAAACATTTCAGCCACGATGATTCGCTGCCTCTCCCTGTCTGTGGACTTGTAACATGCCGGATGTGGGTAACCGCAGCACGCGAACTGTGGTCGCTTCCACAAAACTAGTGTCATAATAGCAGCTACTCTATTGCCAGGGATTCTGGGTTAATTCAGTGCACGGTAACACCCAAAAAGCTCCTGAGATAGATAATAAATTTAGGATCGTCATGTAGCTAATCATTAGGATAGCAATAATTGTATCGATGTTGTGCGTCTCATAAAGAAGACCGATTCGAATTTAGCATGGCAAGAACAACCTCGAAAAATTCATGATACACTGCAAACGACTTTATTTTCGCGAATTTCGCAAATCGCCTACAATTCGCGAAAAATAAGTCCCGCGAGCAATCCCGGTAAAATGTAAACACATTGGAATCTATAGTGCGACCCCACCGCGTCGCGAAAATTAGAATCCGCGAATTATTCCAAAACTGCGGCCTCTTGGACGCCTCAACTTCATGATTTACATGTGCGTGTTTCAGCTGTAAGGTATAGACGAGCCATTATTATTATTTTTTTATAACTGTAAGTATTATTCAAAGTGACAAAAAAGTTGCCTACCTGCAAATGTTTCCGCGAATTGGAGGTCGCCTTTCGGTTTGTTGAATTTGTTTTCAGAGACGGTGCGGAGAGTTTGCACCTCACGATTATATTTTTTACATTGCTGCTAATCTGATTAAAGAATTTTTCGTAACAAGGCCCCGGCAGCCTTTCCTTTTCCATTGTAGATAAGACTGTTGCAGGCTCTCAATGCAAAGCAGCACTGCGCGCCTCGGGACGGGTACACAGGCCAGAACGAGAGGACAAAGCGTGGAGGGTCACGATAGAGGTGTAAAAATAAAGTGCAAGCCATGCCCTCTATAAAAAAAAAAAAAGAAGCCTTCAACGAACAACAAATGTAAAAACAAGCTCCCTACAGTCTAAAGCCGCGGTTTGTAAGTTTTGGAATCTCGTCCAATCAGGCTGACAAATGGTTGAAAGGGTTAGGTAGAGCGAACACTAAATATATATTTATACAAAAAGGTAGACTAGGATTGGGAGAAGGAAGAGCAGTGTAGCAACAACAGTCGGAAGTAAGGCAGGGTGAGTCGTGTTAACGAGACCTGCTGCTTCTTTGCTTCTTCGCTTCGATGTTAGAGTAGCACGACGTACTGTTAGTGGTACCAACATGCGAGATAGAGGAGAAGGAGGTGAAAAACTCATAAAGAAAAGAGAATAATTTCATGAACAAAAAACTCCCCAAACTTGACTGAAATATGTAGGCGAATGTGCAAGCGGCGAAGACGCGTAAGGAGAACCTCGAACCTCCCCGCCTCGACCGGATGATGTGATCGGAGCCAAGCAGCTCGACTTCGACCTCCGGTGCCCCCGTGTGGGAATGAGAAATAAGAAAGACCCCTAGAAACAGGAGCAACAGGAAGCGAACGAGACGAAGAGTCAGATTCAACTACGACAGGAACGAAAACGGACGCGAATGTAGCCCTCATTTATCAAGTTATTTCTCAAATTCTTCATTAAATCGTTTTACAGTCTACAAAATCCTTCATTCCGTTCTATCCCAGCCTCTCTTTCCCATCCCTCTTTTCCCTTTTTTTTTTGAGCAGGTTGGGAGACACTCTCTCCCCTGTCGCTTTGGCTGTGCTGTCTTCTCCGTGGCCAGGGGGAAAAGCGCCGCCGCCGCAAAATTTTGCAAAAGTAATTGTAATTGTGCCTGAAATTTAGCAATTACTGACGCTAGAAAATAATTAAATTACAATTACAATTCCTTTTAGCCAAAAGTAATTATTACAATTACAAATTACCACGAAAAGTAATTAAATTACAGTAATTCAATTACTGAAATTGAATTACTACCCCCCACCGGTCATTATGCCTCATATGGCGGGAGACAACAACCACTAACACCAAACAATTTCTTTTTAAGCGAGACGTTGGTTATTGTTTTTTTTAAAGGAAGCGTTTTTTTGTGTTTTTTTTTTTGGTTTTTTTTAACAGTAACCAGATTATGTGTTTCTTTAAGTTATTTCAAAGAAAAAAAAGATACGTCGTAGCATGCTGCTTTTCACGGAAGGATTAAAGAGATCGGGATATAATGAGTGGGAGAAGGTTTTGAGATACAAGAACGTTCACTACGTCGGTTTCTCTCGTCATATCGTAATTATGTAAACGGGATCGTCTCCCACAGAAAGAGTAGGCATTCGGCCATGAATTGTCAGTGTAAATGTTTGCCCAATAGCTTTAATATATATATATATATATATATATATATATATATATATATATATATATACTCTGTGACAAGCTAAGAATGCCCAGTAGAAGCTCCGCCTCCCCTCCCCCCAGTACGCGCTCGTTCCCTTCTGCCGGATTTCTGTGTCCGACGAAGTGTTATCAAAGGCAGAAAAAGACTCGCGCTCGAGACAGAACATACCTTCATCCTGCAATTCTTTCTCAGGTCCTCTTGTTGACACATGTTTCAGAATCAAAAGAATCCGTTTTGCGTGGTAACAGGTCACTTCGAGGAATTTACGTGCATTTGGAGATAATTGATATACTTTCAGGAGCAATCCAATGCGATCTTCTAAAAAAACATTTTATCACGAAAAAAAAAAACATTTTCTAGCTCACGAAAGAGACAGTAAAAAATCCGCTTCCAGATTTAAAGGGGCCATGAAACGATATCCGGTTGGAATGTTTATGACTTTGCACAGGCTATTGGTCGGGGAGATTGGAAGGGTAGGGGGCTTCATGACGTCAGCCGGCCGTATTGCCTCCACAAGCCATGCTCCCTTGTCACCCCGCCTCTTCGTCATTTTCCCCCTTACCCTCCTTACTGATCGGGCCAACGTGACCTCAGCACGTGACCGTTGTGTTGTTCATGGTTGCGGGTAGCAGGGAACGTGGTGCTGGTGGGTTTTATTTATCAGTCATAACAGCTAGAAACTCTGACCCGCGCCCAGCCGACCGATTCTACGCCTGCTGCGCTTCGTTATGAACCCTCAACTATAAAGTAACTGCATTCTGTTTTCTACATACCGTTACCATCCTGAAAACGATAGTATTCAACGTAGAACGTCAGCGCTGTAACGATTGCCTGTTGGCGTGTTTTGGTTAATGTACTGGGCATCTGCGTGCATGAGCGGGGAGTACTCTTTTTATCTCCTGTCCACTAATTACGACAGTTGCCTAAGCGAGAATAAATTATATACACACATGATTGCGTAGCTATGTCGATCCGACAGTTTGAACCAACACTTGCGCATTTTTACGGCGATGATTTCCGCGCCCGCCTGCAAATGATAGCTGCGCTCTCACCGCTCTCATGTTATATCACGCTACAATACTTTTGGCTTTTTCTTTTCGTCGCGACCGCTGTGTACGTCCTCCACTGGGACGTTTTAATGCTCTCATGACAAATTGAACCAGCTCAACTTGACTCGAGGTTGAGAGATGTTTTATTGACTATTGGAAGTGTGCACGGAGCACACCACGCTCCACTTCGGGTCCAGCCGCCGCCGCGACCAACGGCCGAAATCCATCGTTTCCGCACTTCGGCGACCGTCGTGTGTGTAACACGCCAAGGGCTTACCGGTGAAAGGTAACCCCCCTGAAGCGGAGGTTATACTTTCAGATTTCGGCAGCCGACCACGCTGCAAGCGCCCATTTCGTCCGGCGGAAATTAGCGTCCCGGTGACTCCACGCTTTCGTTTTCTCCGTTACGATTGCG